GGGAGAATGTAATGACCCGGCCGGTCCTTTTAGGTATTACAGCCTCGTTCTCCCATTTACTGCTCTATTTATATTTTGTAGCTGTCTTATGACTTACCGGGTTAGTTGGTTCGGGTCCGTAAGGATTTCGAAGTGAAATGAGACACTTAGTCTCATAATGGAAAGCTTAAGTTGAAAAAGTCGACTGGATGTTAATTTATATATAAACGACCTCAGATTTGAATTCTGATGTTTCCAGTAGCTCAGTATGGTGATTTTGGACTTAGGAGCGTGTCCGAAAAATATTTAGGACTAGTTTCATGACATTGTGACCCCGAGAGACTGGAGAGATTGATGACTGAGTGAGGCCGAGGGCCTGATTGTAAGGATAATTATGGGATCGAGTTGCACACACAGCAGGCCATATATATATATTATTATTATTATTATTATTATTATTATTATTATTATTATTATTATTATTATGTGGATCGGGATTGCCCGCCTGCAGCAGGCCTTATAGGCTTTATTATAGCACGTGAGTTGTCCGTATGGATACAGATATTAATACTATAGCAGGTGAGTTGTCCGTGTAGATTATAGCGCTTGGGTTGAAGGAGCCCCTCCGAAGTCTGTACACACCCCCAGTGAGCGCAGGTACCTACTGAGTGCGAGTGTTGAGTGTCGAGTGCTGAGCGATTGGGAGGACTGAGTGACTGTGAGGACTGAGTGACCGTGAGAATTGAGTGACTGGGAGGATTGAGTGAAATGATACTCTGAGAGTATGCATATGGTATTTATCACTGATTTGCATCGCATTGACATGCACACATGACATACATGCATATAGATGTATTTTTCTCATGTTGTACGGTATCACATTATTCATGACTTCTTACACCTACTGGCCTATGGGTATAATGATGTATTTTCACTGGATATCTGGAAAGAAAATAAAACATCTTATTTATTGTGAAAAGAATTTTTGGAAAAATTACTGTTTTCAACTTACGCATATTTTTGGCAACTTCGGTAAATGATTTGGGTTTTTTTCACTGATGTACTTGAAAGGCAGAGTTTTTTTTTCAGAAATCATGATTCAGCTGAGCATTTTATATCTGGGTTACTCCTTTTATTACTTGCTTTGTGTTGTTACAAATTGTTGTTGCTTATAGGAGTTGGACTCTGACCTTGGTACAAGCTCGTTACTACTTTCAACCTAAGGTTAGGTTTGTTACTTATTGAGTACATGTGGTCGGTTGTACTCATATTACACTTCTGCACCTTGCGTGCAGATATTGGATGCTGATGTTGCTGTGATCAACGGGAGCTGGATTTGAAGACGTACCTGCGTTCTGGTTGTAGCTGCCTCTTGTTCATGGTAGCCTTAGATTTATAAAAATCTGTTTATGTACATTTCGAATAGATGGTGTATTTATTTTATACCAGCTTTGAAATTTCTAATTTTAGAAGCTCATGATTTGTTCTACCAGTCCTTGGGGAGTGAATTAGAGTTAGTTAAATATTAATTGAATCAGATTATTGTTATTGGGCTTACCTAACGGGTGTGGTTAGGTGCCATCACGGCTAGTTAAATTTTGGGTCGTGACAAAATGGGACAGGATAAACGGAACGAAATGATAGGCCCATCCCATCCCGCTAACAAACGGGGTAGGACAGGATGGGACGGGACGGTTTCGCGGGCCTTAAGTCGGTCGTTCTTTTTAAAAAAAAAATTATTTATGCATTAAGTTTGGCAACGACTAATTTTTTAACAATGACTAAGTTTTTAAAGTTTGCAACAACTAGTTTTTTGACTTATTTAATAAACTTAAACGTAATAAGTTATAAAGAAATTAGGAAACTAAGTAAAGAATTATAAAATATTAAAACAAAAGACTTGTAATGAAATATTTTAGTAATTATAATAGAGTTGTAATTTATTTAATATAATTTCAAGCCATTAAGTAACTAAGTAAGAGTGTAAGCCAATTCATAAAAAATTTCAAGGCTTAGAGCCTTTTCTTTTATTAATAGAACTTTCAAATTTCACATACAAATATAATTCTTTTGAAAAGCACCTAATATACGCAGTCACCTTCTAGGAAGGGTTCTGTTTGAACTAGGCCTCTTAGTAGACAATTACAAATTATCGTACTAATATTTGTAAGCTCCTATATAGTTTCGTTGTAACTTATCTATAATTTTTCTCGGACATTGTTCTGGAATTGGCAATGTTGATTGATGTTCCATGGGTTCCATGTCGTCATCGCTCCCGGTGCTAAGTATCTCATTGTATTCTTCTTCTTCTTCCCTAGTGGTTAATTTTTCAAAACCAAGATTTTCTCTTTCTAAATTAATCCAATTTCTGAATAAAACGAAAATCTCTAGGCTGTCCTTCACTAATGAATGTCTATGATCTCCGATTTGAAATCTTGCCGCGCTAAAATCACTCTCTGATGCTACTGATAGGTTGAATTTGTTTTATACTTACCAAATACAATAGAAATTTCACAAATATATCATAATATTTAAAAAAAACACGCGGGATAGACGGGACAGGCGGGACGAGACGGAAATGGGATAAACGGGACGAAATGGGCATCCCGTCCCATCCCGTGTACCGTTTAACATGGGCCCATCCCGTTTATATTTAAGTGGGACGAGATATGGGACGGGAGGGGCCGTCCCGTTGGACAGCCTTAGTTGCAACTCTTTTTTTTCTTTTCTAATAGACTTTAGGGGATGTTTAGCCATGAATTTTATTCACTTTTTTTCAGAATAATTTTTTACTTTATTTCAAAATCAAAATTTCGTTATAAATTTCCAAGTTCAAAGCTTATTTACTTTTGGTAAAACATTAAAAACTCTGTTGGAACACATGCATCATTTTATTGTCCACTTTGGTAATAAAGAGAAGTTGTGCAAATTACAATGCGAGACTACTCTAAGTCATTTAAAACTCAAGCCTGAACAGACCAATTATTGATCAAGTGAGAGGGAGGAAAAAGTTGTGGGACCCACCAATGACCTAACCATAAAGTAAATGAGGAAAATGAGGGGACCAATTTTAACTTGAAATTAAAATGGAAAAAATAATAGTATAGAAAAATTAACCTAAATAATCATGAACATAACCGCTTAGAATAAAAATAGAAAACGGATATATAATATAAGTACGACTCATATATGATATATGTATAATTATTTATAATTGATGTATAATTTATGTATATTAATTATAAAAAATAAGTAAGAAATCTAATCGATTATTTGAAAATATATTTATATAAATAAGCTTCAAAATATTTCCCTCTCTAGAGACTTTTGGTCCACAGTACGGATTAGAATGGACCCACTCTGACAACCTTTAAAGCTTAAATTCTCCCTATTTTCTTTCTTGATATGACATATGGTAGTAAGTTGTTATATGGTCCAATTACTCTATCCCTCCGTTTCAATTTATATAAACTCATTTGACTGGACATAAAGTTTAAAAAAAATAAATTTTTAAATTTATAATATAAAATAAAATATATATATTTTGTATAGCTATAAATCATTACATAAAAATAAATTATTTACAAATAAAGAAAGAAGTTATTCTTTTTTAGCACGAATTAAAAAAAAATATATTCACATAAATTAAAACGGAGGGAGTATAATACTAAAACCTTTTTATAATTAAAGTTATTTATTTTTGCATGTTTCTTTTGCAATTGGGTGATTCCGTGATTGACATATAATCTATGTTATATTAATGGGTTTAAAAAACAAAAATTTAATGCAAATGGTACTTGTGATATTAATAATTTTAACTTTATATTTAATATTTTCATTTCTTACTTAAGATGACAGATCTATTTTATCAATTTTTAAATATCTAAATTTCAAAATATTAAATTAATGTAACGTAATTTAACTTCAAAAATTAATAAATTTAACTTTCAATAAACGAAAAGTATCACAGGGACAAAAGAAGTAATAAAACTAAAAGACACAAAATGAGACAGAGGGCACGGAACACTAAACAGAGAAGAGATTGAACCGTGCATCAATTTATATTGTAAAATTTCCCTCAATCTCACCTTGGAGCAAAAGTAACGTGTCTTCGCGTTACTTACAGGTCATGAGTTTGAATTGTAAAAGTAGTCGATAATGCTTCCATTAAGACTGTCTATATTTTATACACCGAGTTATTTTTTCTTCGGTCTCACATAGGACTGACATTTGACAATTAGACTTATTGGTTATCGACTTATAAATATATCAATTCACTAGACACATAATAAAATATTGAATGAATTAATATCAGATTAACGATTATTGTACGGTTTATCGGTTGAATCAAATAGACAATAAAAATTACATAAATAAGTAAGGCATTAAACGATAGATAGATGATCCAATCACAATCACACTTTAGTACGCTATTGAAGCTCTCATTATTAATGGTAGTTTCTTCTTCTTTAATTCTTTTACAATAAACAAGCTAAAATATAAATTGGGGATCCTTAACCAGTAATAGAAGTTCAGTCAACATGAATTTTGGATATAGTTTTGCTTCAGCTATCAAGTTAAATGATTTATTTGAGCATAAAGATATCAAACTATCCAAATTTACAGTACTACCATAAAAACAAGTTATGATGACGTTAAAGTTCAAGTTGCTAAGAATTTGCTTTATAATGAGTAAAAATATAAATATAATAATTCTTAATCAGTTAACGGATTATTCGATAAGAAAATTAAGTAATCTATTCTGAATTAATAAATTATTAATTATAAAATTTCAATGTATTCATCAACTATTAATCTAATAATCCAATACTATTAAATTATTAAGTTATTTTTACGATTCGGTTAACTGTTACGGTTCAATATTTACTACCTTAATTTTTACTCTTCACAATACTGCTACCAAACAAGAGTGAGCGCGTGAACTAAAGGGCGGGTGTAGTACATGAGCAGTAGCAATGAGCTGTGAATTTTGTGTAAGATAAGTACTAGTCCCCACCACCCATGTGCCCCTCTCCTGTCTCCACCAGTTCCTGCTTCTCAATCATTTGAGCCCTCCTCTCTCCTCTCTTCTCCCCATATTTTCAGCTTCCATTTCCTCTATTGTTGAACTCTTATCAACCATTTCTTCAACTTATTTCTCAAGTAATCCTTTTCTATTCCTTAGTTGAGGTGCAATTTTTGCTCAATTCAGCTCTATTTATCCTCCTAAGCACACATTACTCAGAATTTGGTTATCAAGTAATTTATCAAATTTGTTACTTCTTCATTGTTGGGATACAATTTGAGTATTGTTGAGCCTTTATTTTTACTTCTATGTCGACGTCAGCAGAAGGAAACGGAGCTATAATTGATCCTCATCAAAGGCAGCAACAGCAAAATCCTTCTGGGGGCGGAGGTACAAACGGCGCTTTAACAGTGAAAAAGCCGCCAGTAAAAGACCGTCATAGCAAAGTTGACGGTAGAGGAAGGCGTATAAGGATGCCAATTGTATGTGCAGCTAGGGTTTTTCAGCTCACACGTGAACTAGGTCACAAGTCTGATGGCCAAACTATTGAATGGTTGCTTCGTCAAGCTGAGCCGTCAATTATAGCTGCAACTGGTACTGGTACAATACCAGCTAGTTTCTCTACTGTATCGGTTTCAGTTCGAAGCTCATCGTCATCGATATTAACTTCATCCATTTCGGCTCCGCTTGATCATAAGCAGCCGCCATCATCACAGCCGTTGATTTCTCCTGCTCCGTTTATACTCGGGAAACGCCTCCGGCCTGATGATGAGAGCATTGAAAACGGGAATAAGGAGGATGTGGGACCTGCTGCTACGGTTGTGGGTCCCACGTCCGGGTTCTGGGCTGTTCCAGCTCGGCCAGATTTTGGCCAAGTTTGGAGTTTTGCTGCGGCGCCACCAGAAATGATGGCGCCAACATCAGCAGCGTTAAGTTTGCAGAGTTCAAGATTCTTTCAGCAGCAGATGGGAGAGGCTTCAGCAGCTAGAGTGGGGAATTATTTACCCATGACTCAAGGACACCTCAATTTGCTAGCTTCTTTATCAGGTCCGCTGCAGCCTTCTTCTGGTAGAAGAGACGCCGACGGACGCTGAAGATATGGATATTATTATTATTGTTGTTGTTGTTGTTGTTGTTAATATATCGTATAAATATGTGTTAATGTTCTAGTTTGTTCATGTTGTGTTAGATGAGAAATTGTTGTTGAATTTTGGGAGTTAGGTTCTAGTGAGTGATGAATTATCGCTAGGATTAGGTTGTTTGCTTCGTCGAATTTGTTAGCATTTAAATTCTCCAAATTTTGGGTGTTGTAGCTGTGGGAAGATAACAAGGGACACAAGTATCAGGGGATTTGCTTGTGATGAATTTGGTGGGGATTTCCACTTTTGTTGTTGTAGACCTCATAATAAGCTACTTGATCAAGTGGTTACTAGAGATAATAGGGACAAGTGTGGACTATGAAAACCTGTAGTTCCACATGAATGTTTTGTAAGGAAACCGTGGAGGTTTCCATTTAATTCAGTTATGTAATTTGTTGAAACTATCAGTTGTGAGCTAAACTTTCCTACTCAAATTTGAGTGCTATGGACTTCCATTACTGAACTTACTTTGTGTTATGTTGAATGAAATGTTTTTTACTCAATGATTGAGTTGATACCATACTGGATAAAATGAAATATTCATTTCTTGCTCTGCCCAATTCCCCCTGCCCCCACCTCCCTTTCCGAATCATTTTAAAAGCATTGCTTGATTCACTTGCGACTGATCGATCAACTGATACATAGGACACTGAGAAGTGAAATCAATAGACTGATGAATATAACTTGAACAGGATCTTGATTGATCATGTGAAATGTTGTTGAATCGAATATATAGAAATGGAGGAAATAAAATATTTTTACACTCTGAGCTTTCTTAAATTGATTATGGACCAGATAAATTTTGCTGCAGCTTGATGTCTATTCCATAAATAAATGTGCGATGAGTGCCACATGATTTTATGTTAATGATCTTCATGCTATAAATTCCTCCCTAGTACTCAGAAGATAGTGTAGTTATTAAAAATGTTACAGTGTCCTATACATTTAAGAATGACATGATGCCCTATTTTATCATGTGCTGCTTCAACTTGGAGGAGGAAAGGATCTATACTGCAGCATCTGATATTTTTTACAGCAACTGGGAGGATTCTGCTCTGCAGCATCTGAGATTAACACCTTTCAGCTTTAATTTTGCATCCGATTAGGTAAGATGTGGTTAAATTCTTTGTGCGTGTGAATTTATTTTTGAATCTTTTAAGTTTAGAAGCATATAGATAAGTTATCTGACCTCCAAAAGCGAGAGAACAAAATGATTTTGTAACATCTGGTTTGTCTTATTTCAAGTTGACAAAGAGCTAGGCATGCCTGCTAGCTATCCTGGTAGGAAAACAAGAAGGTTTATGTAAGTCTGTGGAGATTTCAGCGCCTCCTTATGTTCTGATTAGTCTTATTTCGAGTTGACACAGAGCTACCTGCTAACTATCCTGGTAGGAAATCGAGGAGGTTTATGTACATCGTGGAGATTTGCAGCTCTTTTATTGTAGATTGTTTCTCTAATATAGGGTGGTTCAGGGTAGTATATCATGCTTTGTTACCTGAAGGCTCTTTTTAACAACTACTTGTCCCTAAGGTTAGTAAGATTCTTCTTTACATACTGAGATACAATTTCTAGAATGTGTTTGATTTTACTGTTTCTTTTCAAACTCTGCTAACTCTTTGAGTTGCTGAAGTTTTTAAACTATCATCCGGAGTAGCAAATGGTGCAAGACTGCATATCTGGTAGAAGCTCATAATATAAGGAATTGCTGAATCTAGAATCTTTAAGCTTTGATTGATATTCTTTTTACTTCCTACTTTACAACACAATTCATATACGCTGGGAGATCCATGGGATATTCAAAGCCAAAGGCTACTGAACCCTGTCATAACACCAGACAGATGCTTAGGAAAGGTAATGTTATTGTTCTCCACATGCCTATGATCACATTATTCGTCTTCTCTTGTGTTAGTCTTGCTGTATCTGTCTTTGTTATATTCCTAAGAAAGTATATGTTGCAATCGCGGNGCTAGTATTTTGCACTAATTGTGTGTTTTATGTCTTGTAGGAGTAATTGCGAGCTATGTAGTGTGTATATGATGGTAAGCTATAATCTCATGTTTTAGTCGATTATTACATTCCAATTTACTACACTTTAGTTGAGTTTAAGCTTTAATCGCTAGTGTTTTGCACTAATTGTGTGTTTTATGCCTTGTATGAGTGATTGCGAGCTATGTAGATGTTATGGAATTAATTCAAGTGATTTGGAGCTTTGAAGTCTGAGTAAATATGTAGTGTGTATATGATGGTAGGTTATAATCTCATGTTTTAGTCGATTATTACATTCCAATTTATCGCACTTTAGTTGAGTTTAAGCTTTAATCGCTAGTGTTTTGCACTAATTGTGTGTTTTATGTCTTGTAGGAGTGATTGCGAGCTATGTAGTGTGTATATGATGGTAGGCTATAATCTCATGTTTTAGTCGATTATTACATTCCAATTTACTACACTTTAGTTGAGTTTAAGCTTTAATCGCTAGTGTTTTGCACTAATTGTGTGTTTTATGCTTTGTAGGAGTGATTGCGAGCTATGTAGATGTTATGGAATGAATTCAAGTGATTTGGAGCTTTGAAGTCTGAGTAAATATGTAGTGTGTATATGATGGTAGGTTATAATCTCATGTTTTAATCGATTATTACATTCCAATTTACTGCACTTTAGTTGAGTTTAAGCTTTAATCGCTAGTGTTTTGCACTAATTGTGTGTTTTATGCCTTTTAGGAGTGATTGCGAGCTATGTAAATGTTATGGAATGAATTCAAGTGATTTGGAGCTTTGAAGTCTGAGTAAATATGTAGTGTGTATATGATGGTAGGTTATAATCTCATGTTTTAATCGATTATTACATTCCAATTTACTGCACTTTAGTTGAGTTTAAGCTTTAATCGCTAGTGTTTTGCACTAATTGTGTGTTTTATGCCTTTTAGGAGTGATTGCGAGCTATGTAAATGTTATGGAATGAATTCAAGTGATTTGGAGCTTTGAAGTCTGAGTAAATATGTAGTGTGTATATGATGGTAGGTTATAATCTCATGTTTTAGTCGACTATTACATTCCAATTTACTGCACTTTAGTTGAGTTTAAGCTTTAATCGCTAGTATTTTGCACTAATTGTGTGTTTTATGTCTTGTAGGAGTAATTGCGAGCTATGTAGTGTATATATGATGGTAAGCTATAATCTCATGTTTTAGTCGATTATTACATTCTAATTTACTACACTTTAGTTGAGTTTAAGCTTTAATCGCTAGTGTTTTGCACTAATTGTGTGTTTTATGCCTTGTAGGAGTGATTGCGAGCTATGTAGATGTTATGGAATGAATTCAAGTGATTTGGAGCTTTGAAGTCTGAGAAAATATGTAGAGTGTATATGATGGTAGGTTATAATCTCATGTTTTAGTCGATTATTACATTCCAATTTACTGCACTTTAGTTGAGTTTTATGCCTTGTAGGAGTGATTGCGAGCTATGTAGATGTTATGGAATTAATTCAAGTGATTTGGAGTTTTGAAGTCTGAGTAACTATGTAGTGTGTATATGATGGTAGGCTATAATCTCATGTTTTAGTCGATTATTACATTCCAATTTATCGCACTTTAGTTGAGTTTAAGTTTTAATCGCTAGTGTTTTGCACTAATTGTGTGTTTTATGTCTTGTAGGAGTGATTGCGAGCTATGTAGTGTGTATATGATGGTAGAAGCCCAAGGAATTAAGCCGGGATCGTGTTCGGGGATCAACGGATGATATTGGAACGAAACGAAGAATCGAGCATGCATATTGCGCAGTGTGTAGTAATATGCACATATGTAGTGTGTAGTGTGTATATGATGGTAGGCTATAATCTCATGTTTTAGTCGATTATTACATTCCAATTTACTACACTTTAGTTGAGTTTAAGCTTTAATCGTTAGTGTTTTGAACTAATTGTGTGTTTATGCCTTGTAGGAGTGATTGCGAGCTATGTAGATGTTATGGAATAAATTCAAGTGATTTGTAGCTTTGAAGTCTGAGTAAAAGTTCAAGAAATTAAGCTGGGATCGTGTTCGGGGATCAACGGATGATATTGGAACGAAACGAAGAATCGAGCAGTCATATTGCGAAGTGTCTAGTAATATGCACATAACCTTTCGCTTGAAACTCCATTTGGGACCCACGATATATTGTTGGAAATCTAATTTAAAGGGCTACAACTTTCACGTTTTACGTTTTTTCAAATTCCCAATATAACAGGGTGAAAAGTGCGCGTCCGCGCACTGATCGCGTATATGTGGCAGAACTGTGTGAAAAGTGCGCGGACACACTTCTAAGTGCGCGGTCGCGCACAACCTGTCCGGGAAAAGTGTCATTTTTCGCGTAGGAGAAGGTGTATGTGTTTGGTCACGACCCTACTTGGTATATATACATGGAAAAACGGTATTTTGATGACTTTTGACACATCTAAGACCTAAGGAGGCTAAAGAGAAGTTGGAGAAGCAAGAGCACAAAGATTTCATCATTCAATCCTTACTCAAGACAAGAGTTTGGATTGTTTTATGTGTTTCTTTGACTTAAACATTTTATTGATGAATTACTCCATATCCATGGAGTAGTTCTCTTTGTGTTTTATGAATTTGGTGTATTGATACTTGTTTGTGAATAATTAACTCTAGTTTTATGTATTGAATCATTTTGGATGTTTTAACCGTTGCATCTATATTCACTAGTTCATGTAATCAAGAGAGGCATAACTTGTGATTTTTTTACATTCTATCTTGTTAGTTGAATTCAATTGATTCTTCTTCGTAATCGAAAGAGGCTAGTTGAATTGTTGATTAAACTTAGTTAGGAGGATAATCGAGAGAGGCTCTCCTAAAGACCAATCCACTACGGATTCGTGCATATCTTCACGTGCTTAAAATTAGTTCATCTTGTGAGTTTGAAACTTAATCGAGAGAGGAGTTTCTACTAAACAATTGAATTCTAGAGACTCACTTGAACATTATAAGTGAATTAACTAGAGTTAGATCTCAAACACTTGTCTTGCATCTATCCTATCAACTCTATCTTCTCCCAATTAATAACCTTCTTTGCTCATTACTTGCGTAGATTGTCATTAGCCAATAATTTAGTGTAACGATCCGGCCAGTCATTCTGAGAGTTTTAGCCCCGTTTTCCCCATTTCTGCTTCTTTATAAGTTGTTCAGCGGTGTTGAGTTGTATCGAGTTGGTAGGTTTGAGTCCGGAGTAGTTTTGGAGTGAAATGAGACACTTAGTCCTTAGTTAGAAAGCTAAGTTAGAAAAGTCAACGGGAAGTTGGAGTAGGTTCGTAGTGTCATTTGTGACGTGTGTGAAAAATTTGAGGTCATTTGGACGTGGTTTGATAAGTTTCAGCGTCGTTGGCGAATTTTGGAAGTTTAGAAGTTCTTAGACTTGAATTCGAGGTTGATTTGTTGTTGTTTTGGGTGTTCAGGAGGTTCGACTAAGTTCAGGTAGTGATATATGACTTGTTGGAATTATTGGTTGAGGTTCCAAGGGTCTCGGGTGAGTTTCGGATAGGTTGGGTTGTGTTGCGCTTGTTTTTCTTATGTTTCGATGCCGTTTCTTCAAGCATAAATTATATCATATTGAACAAACGAGTTCCGATTTCTTTTTTGATTGAAGAATTAGATCTGTATTGTAATTACGGACCCGTATCAAAAAGAATCGTCGAATTTGGACATCGTATGAGGATTTTATGGTCATTTTACTAAGAATTAGGTTGCTAGATTTTTTCAGATTAATTACGAAATTGCCACTGACGGCCTATTTAAAAATCTGCACTATTTGTAAATATTGAAACCAATATATCTCCTTCATTAAAAGGTCAAATTTAGTGATTCAAAAGACTAACTGGACTAGAATTTCACAAGAAATCTATTGGGGGCATAAAAAGCGAGTTTCAGGATCGTTTGGCATGAGAAACAAGGCAGAATAGCTGGCAGAAAAATATATAAAACAAGACTTTGTTCATTCGGTCATATTTTGAGTTGGGGAGCTCGGATTGGGGCGATTTTGGAGGCGATTTTTACCATAGGGATTGGGGTAAGTGTTCTATACTCGGTTTTGGTTATATTGCATGAATCCATCTTCGTTTTTGGGATTTGATTGATGATTTCAAAGTGAAATTGAGGGAGCTAGGACTTGAGTTTTGGAGAGTTTTAGGTAGGGATTTGAGGACCAAACGGAGTCCGATTTTGATAAATTTTATATGGTTAGACTCGGGAGAGGACGAGAGTTTTGATTCTGCCATTATTGACTGGTTCTGAGACATGGGNGTAGTAATATTTTGGGAAATAGGTTTGCCTTGTAACACGATAGGCGCCATCACGACCATGGTTAGATTTTGGGTTGTGACAAGTTGGTATCAAAGCCTAGGTTACATAAGTCTCACGAGTCATGAGCGGGTTTAGTAGAGTCTTGCGGATCGGTACGGAGACGTCTGTACTTATCTTCGAGAGACTGCAGAACCTTTAGGAAAACTTCACCTTCTTGAATTCTTATCGTGCTGTATTGATTGAGCTTAAAGTGTAACCCTTTGAATTCCTTCCACGTATTCGCATGCGCACATGAGCGCTCAGTATCGGTTGTGCATCGACGGATTGTGATTCCCTGGATGAGGTGCGAGGGGAAATTTCTGTGTGTTGATGTTTGGCCAGTCTGGAGGACTTGAGGCCGGGTTTTGACTGTAGCTTGAGCACTGAGGTATTGATTGTGTGAGCGCGTTCTTGTGGACTTATATGTCAAATAGTGTCCCTATTAGTGGAAATGATGGCTTTTGGAACAACTCTTGACACGTTCGAGCACGAACGTTTGTTTAAGAGGGGGAGGATGTAACGACCCGGCCAGTCGTTCCGAGAGTTTTAACCCCGTTTTTCCCATTTCTCCTTCTTTATAAGTTGTTCAGCGGTGTTGAGTTGTATCGAGTTGGTAGGTTTGGGTCCAGAGTAGTTTTGGAGTGAAATGAGACACTTAATCCCTTAGTTAGAAAGCTAAGTTAGAAAAGTCAACCGGAAGTTGAAATAGGTTCGTAATGTCATTTGTGACATGTGTGCAAAATTTGAGGTCATTTAGACGTGGTTTGATAAGTTTCGGCGTCGTTGGCAAATTTTGGAAGTTTAGAAGTTCTTATTCTTGAATTCGAGGTTGATTTGGTGTTTTGGGTGTTCTAGAGGTTCGACTAAGTTCAGGTAGTGATATATGACTTGTTGGAATTATTGGTTGAGGTACCGAGAGCCACAGGTGAGTTTCAGATAGGTTTGGGTTGTGTTGCGCTCATTTTTTTTTTTTTTATGTTTCGACGTCGTTTCTTCAAGCATAAATGATATCATATTGAACAAATGAGCTCTGATTTCTTTTTTGATTAAAGTATTAGATCCGTATCGTAATTATGGACTCGTATAAAAAAGAATCGTCGAATTTGGACATCGTATGAGAATTTTGTGGATATTTTACTAAGAATTAGGTTGCTAAATTTTTCAGATTAATTACGAAGTTGCCACTGACGGCATATTTAAAAATCCGCACTATTTGCAAATATTGAAACCAACATATCTCCTTCATTATAAGGTCAAATTGAGTGATTCAAAAGACTAAATTGACTAGAATTTCACAAGGAATCCATTGGAGGCATAAAAAGTGAGTGTCGGGATCGTTTGGCATGAGAAACGAGGCAGAATAGCTGGCAGAAAAATATATAAAATAATAGTTTGTTCATTCGGTCATATTTTGAGTTGGGGAGCTCGGATTGGGGCGATTTTGGAGGCGCTTTTCACCATAGGGATTAGGGTAAGTATTCTCTACTCGGTTTAGGTTATATTTCATGAATCCATCTTCGTTTTGGGATTTGATTGATGATTTCAAAGTGAAATTGAGGGAGATAGGGCTTGAGTTTTAGAGAGTTTTAGGTAGGGATTTGAGGGACCAAACGGAGTCTGATTTTGATAAATTTTATATGGTTAGACTCGGGAGAGGACGAAAGTTTTGATTCTTCCATTGTTGACTGGTTCCGAGACGTGGGCCCACGGCCCAGGTTTTGGCCGATTTCAGAATTTTGGCATATTTTGTAGTTTTTATTGTGGAATTCGATTCGTTAGCCTATGTTGATGGTATTAATATGATTATGGTTAGATTTGGAGCTTTTGGAGACCGAATCCAGAGATGAGGGCATCCCGGAGTAGGATTTTACGCTGTTAAGGTAAGTAACAGTTTTAACTCCGGCCTTGAGGGTTTAAACCCGAAGAATTTGATATCATATGATTGTTTGGAGGTGATTCCCACGCTAGGTGACGGGCGTGTGTGTGTATACCTCGAGAAATTGAGACTTTGTCCGTCCCGTGAGGCTGTGAGGCCTAATAACCATTATCTGTGTTTATGCATTTACTTGTTGGTGAACTTGTCTGCCTTCACGTTAGAGATCATGTTTAGGCTTCATTCATGCTCACATTATTTATACTCATTCATAGAAATTATTTTCATGTTTACCTCAGTCTCTATTATTTTGCTGATATATTGTGATACTTGATGTGGGTTGTGTCCCCTTATTTGTGGTGCATTGTGAGGCTGGAGAGGTACATGACTGAGTGAGGTCAAGGGCCTGGTTGTGAGGATATTAATACCATAGCGCGTGAGCTATCCGCGTAGCTCGTGAGCTGACCGTGCGGGTCCAGGTATTGATACCATAGCGCGTAGGTTGTCCGCGTAGCATGTGAATTGACCGTGCGGATCCAGGGATTGATATTATGGCACGTGCGTTGCCCGTGCAATGCGTGAGTTATCCGTGGTTAGCATTTGGGTTTTGGGAGCCCCTCCGGAGTCTGTACACACCCCTAGTGAGCGCATGTACCTATTGAGTGTTGAATGTTGAGTGTTGAGTACGAGTGTCGAGAGTCGAGTGCTGAGTGATAGAGTGACATTGTTGTGAGGATTCATTACTTTTGTTGTTGCTGCATTTTGCCTGTTAATTTCTTTGTAGCATTTATTGAGTTGATGGAATTTACCTGTTTATTCCTGTTTATTTTAAATTGTGATAAAGAAATAATTGAATTGTTCTACTTAGCTCGTCATTACTACTCAGTTCCTTAGTTATTTATGTTACTACTGAGTCGGTTGTACTCATACTACACCCTGCACTTTATGTGCAGATCCAGGTGAGTTAGAGCGCAGCGATCGTTGAGTTCAGGCCGGCT